TTATAGAAATATACTATTGACAATGCATCAGTTCCCCCGGTGGAACAGCGGTAAATCTACGAACTTACAACGCTAAAATCAAAGGCTCGATTCTCCTCGGTGGACACAGCAGATAGCCCGATGTGGCTTTGCTATGAAAACACATATACAATGCATCAGTGACACAATACTATATTACAATAACCATAAAAGCTCTGACTTATTGCACATAGTATTACATTTGATAAATTAAGTACCTGTGTGAGATCAAGATACATATTTTCTATGAAAATACACATATAATCGTAGTTCTGATGGTCCACAGCTAACAACAACTTAAAAACATTTTTTTACCCTTGAATTAATTTTTGTATAAAATTAAATAACCTTTTTATATCAATACACTCGATGTCATGTTAGCTTTACAATATAGTATAAAATCCTTTAATGAAGCACATATTTCACTACAGTTATAAACAATGTAGACCTAAACTTCTGGCATAAAACTGTTACTCAAACATTAAAGGGGTTAATCGTACTTTATAAGAACGATGTTCCAGATCCCGTATTATCTTTAAAAAACACTTCCGCCATTGTCGATCGTGCTCAATCTGATGATAGATTGATTAGCATTATTGGTCGGCAACGCAGTTTCACTGAGAATTAGTCAGTGTGTTCTTTTCGACACTGTCTGGTGTACACACATGAAGTTAAAATTTTACATAATATAAGAAAATTGCGACAAACAATCGACTACGAAAAACATTTCTTTGCAACTTCTTTATCTTGTTGAAATATTCCTTATCAAGTCGTGTAGGTGAAAAGAAAAAGCCTATTTTTTGGCGTAGTTTGTTTTAAAGGCACCCAAGTCTCGTCTTAAAGATGTAAGGAGCTTCCATTTTTCACGAACAAAATATGTTTTGTAAAATTTTCTGAATTTTGTTTTTCTTCACGAATGTGCCTGCTGAATAACACTCGTGGCCAAATTTATGCTTCAAGGGCAACTTGTTAGTAGCCACTTTCCGGATCAGGGCGAAGGGATTCTTGGACGACCAAGTCTGTTAACTGTGGCGGAATACTGTGTACGGTGTGATGCTGACTTGATGATTTTACACTTGGATTTAGGTGTGTCGATATTCCTTTTCCGATATTATTCACTATGTTATAGAATGTCATATTTGAAACTGCTGTGTCCCGGTTTTTAGGTCTCTTTGTTATTTCGATATACAAATACACTTCATCAAAACAGCAGTGATATAGTCCACCATCCCTAATACCATGGTGGCATTATACTGGTAAATGAATGATCAGGAATTCGCCTGGAGCCAAATAGCCAAGTACTTAAAATGTTGTCCTTGGCTCGAACGTGTGGCAACACACTATTGCATTAACGCATGCAAAACATTTTATTAAAGTACGACTAACTCTCCCGGATATATTTTTTCTTTTTTCGTCTTTGGATAAAATAAATTCTAATACTTTCTCATTGAAATTGCAAACTAGTTAAATTAATGCCATCTCATTTCAATCTTATGATTAGGTTTTCAAATATAGTACTAGCTTTGTAATTAAAAGCTGTATTTCCATACTGAATACCTTTGTAACAAATAACAGTGCATCTTATGCTTTGAGGTTAAGACCGATTGATGAAGAAAGCCGAAAATAATAACCAGTCAGTGTCCTTTAGCTTCCCTTTTATTGATTATCCCTGAAAGAAGCATCACGAATTATTGTTTTTATTTAACAAAAATAAAGTTCTGATTCCCGTTAATACATACTAAAAATCAGTTTTCGTGTTTCTTTAAGATAACACATAGTTCAGATTTATGTTAATCCATAAGTATCGGTGTTATTTGTTTTCGAGATATTTCATTAATGAGAAGTCATTTTGCTATTTGAAAACAATAACTCTTATTAATTTTGACTTATATTTTTTATGTTAGATAACATTATGCTTCTAGACTAAATCCACTTTACTTATGTATAATCGAAAACTGATGAATAAGCTTGTCAAAAATATATATTTAATATGAAGTTAGTGTGGAAATACAGTTTTATTAAAGAAGTTTGTTCATCATACGAAACGGTAGTTCTATAATCAAGATATATAAAAAATGAGAAGAAGAAACAAAGCTATTGTATTATTTTCTGTTTACATAGTTTGTTCAATATCCCTAATATACGCACACTTATAATATTTTCCGTTTTTAAAAATGGCAAATGCTTTGATTTATCATTAACATTACTTCAACAGGTTTACCTGCTTTCGTTTCTATAGTCACGCGAACCTCCAATCTTTGTCCAGCAATAAAATAATAAAAAATGGACTGAGTGCTTGCAACGCGAACACCTAGTGACCACGGCCAGCGGATCCTTACTTTATCTCTCGCAAATTTTACACTTGCGGCATGAAGCAATGAATTAAGGCTGCGTCTGCTTAGCTAAGACAGTTACTACTTATTTGTAGTTGTAAGTAAATATATATTCCTGAAAGTGAATGAGAAAAAATATCGATTAATGAAAAACATATACCTTCACCTGGTCACTTTCATTTCCAGAGTTCACTTCTCATAGTTCGGCTCAGAACGAGAGTGCCATCTGGTGTCACTACTGTTTCCAGCACTTTCTTAAAGGTAACTTACCTTCCAGTCCAATGTAATCTACTTGATAATATGCTTAATATTAGCAATACTGATCGGTACGTTGCTTCTCCTTAAAGTAATAGTTAAACAATAATGATTACAGTTTAAGTTTCTTAGGTTGGTGTAACACATAAAAATACACAATATCCATCCAAAATAAAAAGACAAAACTAAATTTCTGCATCGGCTCAAACAGTAGGTGGTATCTCATAAACATAGAAAAATAAAACAACTCGGCATTACCCAGCTTTCATCAATTTATTCATGTGATGTAAAAACTGAATTTACATTCAGCTTAGCCATTCAGCTTGCTGTATTTATGAGATATTACCTACTGTTTGAGCTAAAGCAGACATTTGCCTCAAGATAGATTCGTTTTTGCCATATATAATAAAAAAAATCAAACATGTACTACTTTCAGCTTATGGTTTTTAAAAACAGTCGAAATGATACAATTAAGATTAACCCTTTTTGTTCTTAAATTAAATACATTATGTGCTTTTTTTTGTTTTAAGATATGCTACACATATCTTCTATAGGGCCCAACTCTAATGGGCTCCTATGGATCTAAAACCATATATGTATATACACACATACAGATATATGTATATATACACACACATATATTTAACGTTTAATGTATGAGTTAAGAGTTAAAGGAATGCATTTATATACATATAATTTAGTCTTTTATATTAATTAGAATCATTTTGAACAGTGTTTCTCAACCGGTGGCCGCAAAGCAGTTTGAGGCGGGTCACGAAAAGGCTTAAGATTGGATGAAAATATTTTAAATAATGTTGCAAAACAACAAAAGTATAATGAAAACTACATAATGCCTTGCAAAATGTTAATTATAGAGTAATGTCATGTGCATGAATGCAGCATAGCAACTACGAAACAACACTGCCATACGTGTCATACTTCTATACTTTTATGTGGTGGGTCGCGGGAAATTTCAAGAAGTGTAGATGGAACGTGTTATTAAAAAGGTTGAGAAAGGATGATTGTGAATACATAAATCAGTGAGTTACGTGACAAGCACAGCCGATATAAAGTCGCCGTGGGATGGAATGCATTGGAACTAGATTTTGCCATTGTTTGACGTTTTATAGGTAGTGTGATGACACCGAAAACTGATCATTTTGGGAACAGCTCTTTCCGACGTAAAATATTCCTACACTCAGATCATCAAGATGTGTTGAGATCAATAATTTAGAATTTTCAATACAGGGATAACCCTTGTACTTAATAGCAATGGAAAACAAAGAAATATGGACCAAATTATACCACCAAGTCCATCCAAAAAGAGAGATGCAACAAGTCGTACTCCAGCTGTGGTAAGCAAAGTGTGGCGTTTTATAACAGGTGAGAATCCACAAACACAAAGGTTGTCTATCTGACCCATGAACCAGTACGAAACATAATCAAGAAGGATCTCCATGTATACAACTTGTTATTCCATATGAAGATACCAGACGCGTCACTTATATATTTCTGTACAATTGGACAGTTGAAATTGGCACTAGCTTTCTTTGTTTGCTGTTAAGTACAAAGCTAAAATATGGGATATCTGAGCTGTTCCCATCATGGGCATCGAAACCCGGTTTTTAGTGTTATAAGCCTTCAGACTTACCGCTGAGCCACTAGGGGGCCGGGTACTGGGAAACCGTTGTCTTCATACACTAGATGGACAATGGATAGCATGTAGGGAAGAGTAGTGTGATTTGGACATAACGGCCTTACGACGGGTTCTGTGTTTGTCTATTTCAACGCAAAGCCACACAGTGGACTATCTGCGCTCTTTTCACTGCAGGAATCTTAACCTCGAAGTTTAGCAAAGTAAGTCTGTATACTTATTGCTGACCCACCAAGAGGATACATTAAGACGAAATATTTTACAATTGAAACTACGCTACAGGACTATTAGCATAACTCACGATCGCCAGATAGAGCATGACCAGGTGAAGCGACGTAGACAGTGATGACGTGGTGAATATACAAAATCATTTTAATATAACGTACTCCACCTCTAAACCTTGTCTAAATCGAAACACACGATAAAATAATAAAACTTTTTTGTAGCTTAAATGCATTTACATTGAAAAGCTAGGGTTTTAATTAATTTTCAATCGCGGAAACCTGCAAAAAAAATATTCATGTTTTAGGCAAAGAACTAAATACTAGTATTTCAGAAGATATTTAAAAGTTATGGTGATATTGGCTAAATGCATGTATGTCTATAGATTTAAATCGTTCCTATAAGTTTATTCTTAACAATCATATTATGATATAGCACAATAAAATTGGAGTTTTTTTTTATTTCTGATAATAGTGGTTATAAAACTTTCGACAAGTGCCCCGTGTTACGAACACTACCTGTTGATACTGCGAGGTTCGCCGCTGTTAGGTTGTATCATCCAAAACACCGCAGGCTTTGGATGGCCCTTAGGCGGGTCACATTTTAAACTCAGGAGAGAACCTTCTACGACGTCCACTACCTTTGGCTTCTCCAGTGGAAAAAAGTGTAACTCTGAAAGAAAAGGTATAAAAAATACAATTTGGAAATTTCTATTTCAAACTGGTCAAAATATACCGTATTCTTATATTTCCTCAGTCATTTTTTTCCTTATTTTAAAAACTTAATTATTGAATATTTGAATAATATCGTCTCCATAATGTGATTGGTTCTTTTACCATGCCAAGGAATCATTTATAATAGAAAACACACAAACAGAATCACCACCTTAACTGCAGGCAGGGTAACGCCTCTAAATTTATCATTGAGTAAAAAATACTTTATTCTTTTGAAATAAAACAAATGGAAAACTTAACAGAAAATTTATTTTGAAAAATAGAAACTCCAACTAATCCCAAGTTGCAGATTTTCTCGCAAAGCCACATCGGGCTATCTACGCTCTGTCCATCGCGGGAAATCGAACCTCGTATTTCAACATTTTAAGTTAGTTAACTGACCGTATACCAACTGATAAACTACAAGCAAAGAAACTAATCAAAAGCTTCCAACGCTTACTCTTGAGCAACTCTTGCTTAACCGAAAAGTAGGGTTTGACTGTCACTTTTATAGCGCACACACAGCCCCAAAGTGCGGAGCGCGTTTCGCGACAAGTGGACATGAACCATGGATCTTCGAATTCACACACCGGGAACGCTAACTACAAGGTCTAAGGAAAAAAAAAACCTACATAACTTTTAGATCATTCAACCCAAACGACCAATAGACCTTGAAACAGACTAAGCTGTAGAAATCGCCAAGGTCTGTTACTTTGTAAGGAATGATAAGGTCAATTTTTCCTACCACTCGCAAGGTTATCTCGAAGAGGAAGTGTATTTTCTGTGATAAAAAAAAGACAGCTACTAAAACGAAAAGAAAATCGCACTTCATTTATCAACGTCGTTTTGCCTTTTCTTGTTACTGTAAAGGTGATAAACGTCAGTGTTAGGAAGTTTAGTACGAATTCAGTCTCCAAACTAGTGACCTTGAAATATCTCGTCTAAATTACAGTGTGGTATCAAATATTTTGTTCCATCCAAGTTTAAAATCACTAGATAAAATGTGTCCCGGACCGAAATGTTGTGAGCCTTAAAACAAAAATAAATTATCATTTAACACTTTCTTCCTCCTTTTTTTTATTTAATTGAACCACGACAGTCTTTGTATCACTTTATATTTTATTTTATTCGTGATTACTCGGTAGATATAAAACGCAACAACTAAAACTAGGTATTACTAAATATCAATCTTTGTGCTTTCATATGATAACTCAATCTATCCTACAAGTTTAATAAATATTTCAGGTACAAATAATTTTCTTACACTATTCCTACTTGTACGAGATACTGATAAATAAATTTTACATGGAAAAATCACAAATTTTACTATTAATCGTTAATTGGAAATTATTATGACAGTTTATTTACATAAATTATTTAAATACAATTAATACCCACTTTTCTTCGGAAGTGCACAAATGCATCTTTACTTGAGTTATAGCTTGATATCTTTTTATGAATACAAAAACTTTCGAGTTAGCGTCCAGGGTAACAGTGAGAGCCATATTCAGTTAACTTCGTTTCCCATCATTCACATACTTTTTGTTTTTTTCTGGTAGTTATAATTATATAAAATATTAAAGGTAAGGATGATGCAATTTTAAACGCCATTCACATTTAAATAAGGAATATATTTTCTACGTTTATTGTTATGCTTTTTTCTTCTATTGATTCGTTTGTTTGTTTGTAATTTCGCGCAAAGCTACACGAGGGCTATCTGGGCTAGCCGTCCTTAATTTAGCAGTGTAAGACTAGAGGCAAGGCAGCTAGTCATCACCACCCACCGCCAACTCTTGGGCTACTCTTTTACCAACGAATAGTGGGATTGACCGTCACATTATAACGCCCCCACGGCTGAAAGGGCGAGCATGTTTGGTGGGACGGGGATTCGAACCCGCGACCCGCAGATTGCGAATCGAGCTCCCTAACCACCTGGTCATGCCGGGCCCTATTGATTCGTATTTTGTTGTAGTATCCACAAGTCATTCATTAGAACCTCCATGTAAGAGAACACAGCAGTTGTTTGTGAAGTTCTTTTTCATAACCTTTGACGTAGAACGTTTATATTTATTTCTCACTATAGTAAATACTGATAATTCCACGAATAAATTTAGAAGATGACAACAAATATTGGAATAAAATGTTACTCATTAAACAGTACAAGTGTAATATTATTAATGAATAATTCTATTTCTATTTGCATTTTATTTTCATTTTTTTTTACGTGAAGCTAAAATGTGAGCTCATTACGTCTTTATTTTGATAGAAATATATACGTTTATTAGTTTCAGGTCCAGTGTATTTCATATGATTCAATTCTGTACAGATGTTTAAACACTTTAAGCAAGTGATAAGGTCGGACATCTTGAAAGCACTGGAATAAGGAAATATATCAAGCACGGTATATTTTTGTTCACAGTATAATAAATGTTAAGAAACATGCGACATGCATTTCATGCGAGTGTTTCAAAATAAAATATTTTTGCTAAATAATATGTGACGATAATTAGCTGGGTGTTTCAAATAAAATATATATGCTGAACGTAGATGTTTACAAGAATGCAGAAACTATGGAAAAGCAATAATTATCTTTTAGTTAAAACGTCTTTACCCTTGTGTAATGTGCTATCTCAAGGGAAAAGTTTCCTACCGCTTAAATTTAATTATTGTAATTTCAAAATATTAGCTGCACGTTGGTCTTAACGATCCACAAAAACCTACATCTAACACAACAATGGGCTTCTACACGCAGCTTCCTTAGTGATCATCACTATATAAGTTGAGTGTAGAGCTCTTCTATCTAAACTGCAGTCATCCCTCGTTGGATATAGCTCTCCGTCAGACCAGTCCAGTATTTCCTATTCTTAGCATTCCGTGACCATCCAATTCCTGCTTCTGCCACTGTACCGTCCCTCTATCTTCTCTTTTGCCTTCACTTAGATATTTTTCATGTCCTATGTTGCCATTCCATTGTTCTTAATGTCCACCTATTATCAGAATACCTTGCTACATGCCCAGCCCATTTCCATATAGTTCTTGGAATGAACCTTACTGCATCTATTATATTTGTTTTTGTTATTCTGTCATTTCTCCATCTGTCTTGTAGTATTATATGAAGCATTTTTCTTTCCTTAGCTCTTTGTGTGGTTTCTGTCTTTTTCCTGATGTTTGGCAGTCTTATGTTAGGTTGGTAGTACACGCTGATCCATGATCTTTTTCTTCAAAGTAGTGAGGATATCTTGATCCTCTATAATTTCTTTATACATTCCAAAACATCGTCATGTTGCCTTTATTCTTACCATAATTTCTTCACTTGTTGTGTTTTCCATTTTAAGGGTTTCACCTAAACATTTGTATTCTGAAACTTTCTCTATTTCTTCATTCTCAATTTTGATGGTATGTGTGTCATGATAGTTGGTTATATATTTGGTTTCTTTTATGTATTTTTAATCCTACTTTCTTGCTACTGACATTCAAACTGTTTAATAGGGCTTCCATCTGTTTTGTTGAATTTGTAAAGAGAGTTATATCATCTGCAAACCATAGATCTGTTAATGTCTCTTCATCTATTTTTATACCTTCATTCTCTAACTCAGTTTTTCTGAATACTTCTTGTAAAGTTGCTGTAAATAGTTTCGAAGATATTGGATCACCCTATCTCACCCATCTCTCTCTGTCTTTATCACTGATAATACCTCTTTATCAAGATGTATTTTTACTTTTGTGTCACTAGAGCTCTTACTGGTCACAAATTTGTTCGGGATACAAAACTATAATGTACACAATAATTTTGATTATTCAACTACAAACTAATTTTTTGTGTTAACGAATTGCTTTTAAACTTACTCTGTTGGCGCTGCTGAGTTAATTTTCAGAAGTTACTACATTTTTATATTGGAGTTTAAATTTGGAAGTAGATGCGGAAAAGATCCGGTATTTGTATGAACTACATCTTAAATTGTAGTCGCAATTATCTGTATAAGATAAAACACACTAGGAAAACCCAATCCAGTTATCAGATTCAGATTACTTCTTCAACGAATCTGTTGTTATTAGTGGGTCTAACTATCTAATACTTGTTTCTAAACACATGTTTCAGTATGTTTCACCTCATTTTGACTTGCCAATTTTGTTTGCAGAGCGTTTAACCTAACAGGAAGTGATAATACTAGATTTATCAAACTATTCAATAACTATATCTCAAGTCTGAAAACAACACACTATTTTCTTCCTTCCAAATAAACAACTATTCCCTTTTTTTAATTCTAAATGACTTAACTCCTTGCATTGATTTCAACCTAGTTTGTGTGTTTGTAATTAAGACAAAGCTACACAATGGGCTATCTGTGCTCTGCCCATCACGGGTATCGAAACTAGGTTTTTAGCGTTGTAATTCCGCAGACATACTGCTATGCTACTGGGAGGCTAGCACAATGATACTTACATCTTACATCCACACTACCATTTTGTTTCGGTGCTTTTTATTAATCTACTTTTCACGTTGACCATCACATTATAACGTTCCCACGGCTGAAAGGGCGAGCATTTTCGGCGCTAGCTTCCGATCTTGCGAACCACAGATCGTGAATCGAACGCTCTAACTGACTACCAGGTCATGCCAGGCCCATTTAAAATGTTTAATGAATGTTTTCGATATACTGCACTTGACAGTATATAAGAGAAAAGATAATTTAAAAATATAAATATAATGAAAAATAATATCATGCGGGCTGGCGGAGTTAAAAACAATACGGAAAATTAACATGCTTAATAGGTACAGAAAAATATGCCCTTAAGTTTGAATTTCCCCCAAAGCTACACGAGAGCTATCTGCGCTAGCGGTCCCTAATTTATCAGTGATCGACTATAGGGAAGGAAGCTAGTCAACCCCACCCACCACTACTTCTTGGGCTGATCTTTTACTAACGAATGATGGGATTGACAATCACATTATAATGCCTTCCCGGGACTAAAAAAGGCGATTACGTCCGGTGACGGGGATTCGAACGCGCAACCCTCAGATGGCGAGTCGAGTGCCTTAACCACCAGGGTATGCATATTGCTAAGAGTAGGAAAGTGTATTATATCTTAAGAGCTTTGATAATAACAAGTTTTTTTTTTTTGTTTTTGGCTTCTTCTGGCTAACCACAATAAGATAGAAGGAACAGTAAGATCTGTGTGATTATTATGTTAGTCAGGATACGTGCTAGCCCGTTGACGACCCTGAGCACTAAATAAGATACCTACTAATATACACTTGTTAAAAAAAAACTAATTTCTACTCACACGCTAACACTAGTGCGCTGGTATTTTTTTCAAATCCTACACATGTTAGCAACCAGTCAGCGCATGCGCACCACGTGTGTTTGAGATAAAAGTGCCTTGCTGCTGCAATTTTTAATGAAAGGGCCATTCGTTACTGAGTGACATGTTTGTAAATCACATTCATTGAAAACGTTTATTTTTTTAAAGCGAGTACAACACTAAAATAGTCAAAAACCCAAAGTCAAGATGAAAATGATAAAATAATCTTCGTGAATCGTAGTCCCCTTGAACTGTTTGGAGCCATGAGCAATTGTTTAGTCTGCTTATGCCTAGCGCCGCCACGGATGTTGGTGAAGGTGAAAGGAAGATAAATATTGGCGTGATTTTTTAACTATTTATGTTGCTTATTACAATCAAGTATCACGCGATTTAAGGAATACAACAAATCACTTTCTGTGATGCAGAGATGTACATGGGTTGATAATTACTTTTTGATAAAAAAATTTACACACTACAATCTATAATAATAAATGGACGTGTCTGTATGTGACAGCCATAACTCCAAAATAAAAGAACCTAGAAACCTGAAATTTTGCACGTATACCAAGTGGACCCTGAGATTGTACACCAGGGTATTGTTACTTACCTACGTGCGTGCGCATCTTTTTATGCGAAAAAACACATAGAATAGAAACGAGCACGTGCGTGTGCGCTTGGGTAGCGTTTTAATGAAGCAAACTAGCGAAAAACCACATAGAAAAGAAGTGGATATTTACATTACAAATAGAAATCACAAGCAGACACGCACGTGAGCGCGCACGCACGTGTGTGTGTGACAAGCATAGCTCCAAGAAGAAAGAACCTAGAAACCTGATATTTTGCTCTCATACTAAGTGGACCCTGAGGATTTGCACCTGGGCGTTATTACTTATCTATGTGTGCGCGCGCATACGCGTGCACATCTTTTTATGCAAAAAAACACATACCTTTTTAATGAGGCAAGCTAGCAAAAAACCACATAGAAAAGAAGTGGATTCTTATATTACAAATAGAAATGTGTGACCACCATAGTTCGAAGAGGAAAGAATCTAGAAACCTGAAATTTTGCTTCCACACTATGTGGACCTGAAGGTTTGCACCTGAGTATTATTACTTACGTGCGTGCGGGCTTCTTTTTATGCCAAAAAACACATAGAAAAGAAATATGACTGCCATAGCTCCAATATAAAGAACCTAGAATCCTGAAATTTTGCACCCATACTAAGTGGACCCTGAGGGTGTGCACTTGAGTATTATTACTTATATTATCCACGTTCGTGCGCATCTTTTTAACGAGG